CAGAATGACCTATCAGAAGGGTTCTTTGGTAACTTGACTGTTCAAGAAGTCAGTGCGTCGGTTCCTAATATAATCAGTGGGTTCTCGGCAAATATTAAGGTAATTAATCTTCCAGTGATAAAGTTGTGGTTCAGCGAAGAGTCTTGATCAATGGGGGCCCAACTCATTGTATCAATTATATTTTAAGATCCTATGTTCAACAATTGGTCGAGTCTCTATGATGAACGTCACGCATTCAAATAACATGTCGGACTGTTTAGCAAAAGAATATATATTTTTTTTTTGAGCTCGCTGTTTTTTCTTATTTTTGGTGAATTATGATGTTCATGTGGTAATTACTGTGACGATGTAGAAAATATATGATTTGGGAGCGAGATCATTTTGGATCCACAACACTGGGCCAATTGGCTGTCTCTCTTACATCTTAGCCAATTTCCCAGCTCAAAAGGATGAGGCTGGCTGTGCAAAGTCATATAATGAAGTAGCTCAGCATTTTAACCACAAGCTGAAGGAAGCCACAGTTCAACTTAGGAAAGATCTACCTTTGGCTGCAATTACTTATGTGGACGTATATTCAGTAAAATACTCTCTTTTTAAGGAACCCAAAAAATATGGTAAGCCACTCAACCTTATGATATTCATAAAACATACCTATATAAAGTTTGTAGTTTTTTTTTATTTTTCGTTTTTTGCTTACATACGTAATTTCAAATGACTTCATTGGACTGATAAAGTACGTATATCACCTGTCATATAATGTAATTCACGGTTTAAAAATGTGATCTCTTAAGCATTATTTAAATGGAAAGCTTATACAAAGAAATTCCATGAATGATGAAATCTATTTTCACTCTATATTAAATTGGTTGCAAATGTTTCAGGGTTTGAGCTCCCACTTGTTGCTTGTTGTGGGTATGGTGGCAAGTACAACTATAACAGTGGTTTTGGATGTGGAGGAACAGCTACAGTTAATGGAAGCCAAATATTTGTTGGCTCATGCAAAAATCCTTCGGTGAGAGTGGATTGGGATGGCATTCATTATACTGAGGCAGCTGCCAAGTTTATTTATGATAAAATTTCAACTGGAGCATTTTCTGATCCACCCCTTGCCTTGAAACAAGCATGTCACAAGAGTTTGGCCTAGTAATTAAATAAATCAAAAAATTAAATACGTACAGACAGATGCATGCCCCTTGAGCCATTTAGGTTGTGCTTTAGAAGACCCAATAAAATCAGTGAGGTATAACTCAGTTGGTTGAGCTCTTCCACCTCCACCCAGGTGGTTAGAGTTTCGAAACCCCGAGGCACCCAATGAATATTTATGTAAACCCAATAAAGGCTCCTATAGTTGGTTTTTAATAAAAGAGCAATGCTAGTCATATTACATTTATATACCACATTGTTTTGACCATCTAGTTTTTTAGTTATCATTTTTCTTTCTCTTATTTATGTGGTTCAATACTTCTCTTCAAATTCGAACATTACTTTGATTTAGTGTGTTTAATCAAAGTTTCAACTAAAAATGCAAACTGATTCGATAAAGTCTCATAATTAATATGATTTAATATATTCGACATTCTGGGCAGAATCTAGTTAACAAAAAGCATTATGTGTTGAGAGTGTGAATCTCACGTCGGTAACTTAAAGTCTTAGTAGTTTAAATAACTTTGGCTTCCTTCACAATCTCACCAAAAAAAAAAAACAAAACAAAACAATAAACTATAGCTTCCTTCACGTATTTTCCGATGAATTTTGAGTTCAAACTTGGAACCTTAACTTACCAGTTTACATTATAAAGTAGAAGGTCTAACAAGCAGATTTCTTTAGTATTTCTTCATGGTAGGGGGGTCATTTGCCTAGACCTTATTTTGTATTTTCTTTCATGCTAAAGTAGGTAGGTGAGGTGAGCCCAACTTGGTGGACGTATGCAATTATGAATTTACTTTGGTTTTTTTTTTTTTAGTATAAATGATAGTCTAAATTAAAAAGAGGAGGGGGATTTCTCACACGCACACACAACTAAGATGTTTGGAGATTTGAATCTGAGACCTCAAGTCAATGCCCTTTTCCACTGGGCTAGACCCCATTGCCACTTGGGGTCTGTTTGATAATCATTTAGTTTTTAGTTTTTAGTTTTTCATTCCTTTTAGTTAGAGATAGAGAGAAAATATATGGATAAAAAGATATAACATTTTCTTCCTCTCTTCTCCTTCTTCCACCCCTTCCCTTGAAACACATTGCCGAATGGAATTTACGTTTTACATTGAGGCCATGTTGGTGTTGGTTGCTTGGTTCTCTTCCTGAGTGATTGTACGTACGTGTTCGTTCTTTGTTTTGGCCTCTTGATTGCTACGTACCTTTGTTTTTGTTCTGGCCGTTTGCCCTCCTTTGGTTTTAAATATTTTATTTATAAAAAAACAAAACAAAACAAAACAAAACATATACTCTTTTGAAGTCTTATGTCACATCTATATACAATATTTAATATATTTTTTCACGCATAAAATGTTTGAAATGTGTCCTTGCTTGTCTTACTGCTTGATCAAGATAGTTGGAAATGCACGTACTTGGCAGATGCCTTTTTCCAAATGCAATTGAAAATCCACCTTTCTTGCACTATATAAAACAAAACCTACACTCTTGGATTTTCTCACTTCTCATCTGCAATTTCTACACTATGACGTCTCCTAGGATAATATCTCTATTTTGCTCTTGTATGCTTTTGTCACACGATATCACCACCTTGAGCCTTGCCTTAGCTTTGGAAGACTGTGAGTTTCCAGCCATCTTTAACTTTGGAGATTCAAACTCAGATACTGGTGGATTGTCCTCATCCCTTTATCAAGCACCCCCACCTTATGGTGAGACTTATTTTCATAAGCCGGCCGGAAGATTCTCAGATGGCCGGCTCATAATCGATTTTCTCGGTATGTATACCTTTATCTTTCTCGTTATTTCTAGTAGTAGTTAAGAGTACTTTTTGCAATTATTGTCTGATAGAACTTATGTGGTTCAGCAAAGAGTCTTGGTCACCCCTATCTAAGCGCATATCTAGATTCACTTGGGACCAACTTCTCCTGTGGTGCAAACTTTGCCACTGCAGCTTCTACCATCAGACTGCCAGATCCCATCATACCAGCTGGTGGATTTAGTCCCTTCTATCTCAATATTCAGTACATGCAGTTCATGCAACTAAAATCCAGATCACAGCACATAAGGCATAGAGGTGAACTACTAAAACAAAGGTTAATTTAATGAGTATTAAGGTTTAAGCCTCCATGGTTAGCCAGGTGGTTAAGGAGGGTAGGGCAATGGGTTAGAATTAGGTTAGATCTAGTGTTCGATTCCCTATGATGTCAAAAAATAAAAAAAAGAGTGATGCTTTTTGGACTACTACATTTACTGACAAGATTGGTGATCACTTCTCTAATAGAAATATGATTTATTTGGGTAAGACCCTCGGAGAGGTCGTTAATTAGTAGGTGTGGAATATAAATAACATTATTGATATAATGACAAGTTTTCAAGCAAAATATTGTCATTAACGCTTACTTCGATTAGTTTTGTAGGGGGGATATTTGCAAGTTTAATGCCCAAGGAGGAGTACTTCTCGAAAGCTTTATACACATTTGACATTGGTCAGAATGACCTTGGCGAAGGGTTCTTTGATAACCAGACCATCCAGGAAGTCAATGCATCTGTTCCTGATATAATGAGTAAGTTCTCAACAAATATTAAGGTAATAATCCTTCTCAAACATTTTTTAAAAAGTACATAATAATATGCTCATGAAAAAATAATATTCACTTTTCATACTGTTCAACGTGGTCCTGCCGTGAATTAGGATCATACATTCAAAATAACATTTTCTAATGCTGCTTAATTTTTTGTTTATTGATAATGCAAATTTCGTGACGATGTAGAAAATTTATGATTTGGGGGCAAGATCGTTTTGGATCCACAACACTGGGCCAATTGGTTGTCTCCCTTACGTTTTAGCCACTTACCCATCAGCGCAAAAGGATGAGGTCGGTTGTGCAAAGTCTTACAATGAAGTAGCTCAGCATTTTAACCACAAGCTAAGGGAGGCCATAGTTCAACTTAGGAAGGATCTGCCTTTGGCTACGTTCACTTATGTAGACGTTTATTCTGTCAAATACTCTCTTTACAAGGACCCTAAAAGATATGGTAAGCCACTCAACTTTTTGATATGGAAAAAAAAATGCCGCGAAATTCCTTTGATATTTTTGTGTACTTTTCCTTGATGACACAGATCGAAAACAACGATATTAAATACCATATTAGTAATTAAAAAGAAATAAATGGAGGAAGTACATTAAATGTCTCATCAATTTTTTTGACAGAAGAACATTAAAAGTTGAACAATTTTAACTTTTAACCTTCTGTTTTTTTTAACGAAAACCCTTTATTTGACCTGGTAAATGTGTACGTTCGACCCAAAATACGTGGGTCGCTGAATTATATTATATCAATTTATCATAATAATTTATATCCCTACCCAACATAGTTCAGTAATTTGGTTTGAACTTTGAAATGCGATCCCTTAAGCATCATTATGGATGAAATTTACTTTAAATTGTATTGTTTATTGCTTGTAAATTTTTCAGGGTTTGAGCTCCCACTTGTTGCCTGTTGTGGGTATGGTGGCAAGTACAACTTTAACAGTAGTGCTGAATGTGGAGGAACAGTTGCAGTTAATGGAAGCCAAATATTTGTGGGTTCATGCAAACGGCCATCGGCTAGAGTGAATTGGGATGGCATTCATTATACTGAGGCAGCTGCCAAGTTTGTCTTCGATAAAATTTCAACTGGAGCATTTTCAGATCCACCCTTCCCTTTGAAACAAGCATGTCACAGGAATTTAGACTAATAAATTAATCAATATACTTAAGTACTGCAGACACATGCATGCGGGTGGAAATGTTTTCGTACTGCAATGATAGTGTTGTACGTTCTAGCAGAAATGGCAATGGCATTACGAGTTGTTCTGCTGAGGAAGAGTTGGGGAAGGTCAGTTTGCTTGGAGGATGCGATCAAAATTCGGTTCTTGATTGTGAGAATTGTATGAAGAGAAGTGAGCCGTAATGCTGGAGGAGGAGAACCAGAGAATAAGAGGGCAAAAGGGTTATGTCGTTGGTCATCAGGGCAAAAAAGACATTGCTCTGTTCATTTGGTAAGAGGGCAACCAGTTAAGCAGGGGCACAAACGGCATTTCACTATTAAAATGAATAGTTGACTATCTAGTTTCTGAATTATGATTTTATTTTTCTCTTATGGTTATGGATGAAGTTCAATATAGTTTCCATAAAAAAACGAAGAACCGAGCACACGACCTCAAGTGCAATTATAAATACCTTTAAATACTTAAACTAAAAATACTAGTTGCCTCTGAACAATCATCAAGAAAAATGAAATTGGATTAACATTACATTTTTTTTCAGGGAAGGGTTAATATTACTTTGATTTATTGAACTCCACAAGAAAATGCTTACTAACATGTTTAAGAGGCTCACCAGTCCAACTCGATGTCAAGAGATAGCGGGCCTAAGGCCCAATCTACATATGATTTAAAATTGAGTGTTGCTACTGACACACCCAAGGATTTGCTGACTACAGACTTCACCCGCCACCTACGTCGATCCACCGGCAGCCCTACAATAAGAACACGCCGGCAATCAACACACCAAGCTGATGCACACGCCCTTTAAATCACAAAACACATCTTTTGTGTCTTTAAAATTCTAAAACTAGTGTATGTATACGTACATAAGTACATGTGATTCATAAATAAGCACTCTAAAGAAAACTTAGAGTTCCTTTTTTTTATCCCTACACTTGTGCAGCAAAGGAGACGTGTTAAAGTCTTAAAGACACGTGCCTCCAAAACCAATAATTTTATGGGAGAAAGAAAAGATGCATGGATCCATCGGGTCATGGAAACACACACAGCCAAGGATATCAGTGTCGGCTATTAACCAAAAAAATAAATTGAAGGATCAGTGTCGGCATGTACATATTGGATTATACTTTGTCAGTACTGGATGCATTCAGCCAACAAAATCATGTCGACTTTGTAAAAAGCTGTCCAAGTAATTGTGTCTCCATTTTTATAGCTACGCACGTTGCAAGTTCTAGTGGCCTTCATCTCCACACACACACACACAGAAGTGAAGGAAAAAACTAAGAAGACATGATCCACCTTTTCAGAATGGCTGTTGGTCGCAACTCGCAACCATCTAATTAACACCAAACTAATAATGTCACTTGAGTTTGACGGGTTTCTTGACCCTCAAGTTTCAAGAACTCACATTACTTAAATAGTAGATGGCTTGGTACTCGAAATGTGAAAGTGGCTTTTCAGAAACTTGCTCGGAAATCAATTAACTTTGTAAAAGATGATGTGATAACTTGAGATGAGAGATCATGTCATGTGGGCTGTTTCAGCTTGAAGTGAAATAAAGAAGATAAAGAAGGGATTTAAGGTCACAAATGCTATATTTATACCTAAAAACTGGAAAGTTTGTTTGGCCTAGCAAGCTAGCGACCTTTTTTTTTTTTTGTCAAACAGCTAGCAACCTACCTTGAGAAAGATGTCCTTCAAAATTATGGCTTTATTAAAGCAAACTTGTAAAGGTCGCTTTGGTGTTCTGGCCAAGTTCGTGATTTGATTTTTTTGGTGGATATTCATGACACGAGGGTTGAGGGGTCCTCAAAACTCATAAGTCATTGCGTTCCCCTTTCCTGCTATAGATACATACAGGTGAGCACTTGTGTCTTATTACTACAAATATTGATATTATTCCTAACTTAATTTACTACATAATCTAGTTAGTGCGATGTTATTAATGAGGAAACCACTCACTTATATTTTATTTTATTTTATCAAATTTTTAATAATATTTTTACATTCTTGAGCAGTAAGTTCTTTGGCAACAGTGTCATGTGAAGTAAAATTTTCCTAATGGAAATAAATGCAAATGCACATAAATATATTCATATTTACTATATTGCAAATGCAGCCACACAACTCATGAATCACCATTTCTTTTAATATCGTTGTAATTGTAGGCGGCCCTTGACATTTTCGTCCACATAATTTGAAGTCTTTCTCAAGCTACCACGTATGTCCTAAAGTAAATATCAATCAAGCTCCCATTGGCTAGAGCAATGACAATGGCATTAGCATTCTGGGACCTTGCGTATCCAATTATCTGTTCGATCAATCAATGACCTGCAAGGGCTTGGAGAAAATATTATAGAGTACGAAACTATTTTCACACTTATTTACTACATTGTTGGACACTATATTTCCTATTGTGAATAAATATAATGTTACATATGTGAGATATGAAGTACATAAACATAACTTTAATGTCACCTTAATGAATTTGAACCCAAAAAAAAAAGAGTAGTCATCTAATAATGGATAAAGCGATATTATTTGTGCCATATTTATCGACTACGTTGTTGACATCTCTCCCATTAGTGAGATACATTTGATTTGTCTGTTGCCACCTCTACACGTCTATATGTGAGATACATGTGATAAGAAAAATGTCAAGGTTGATATGGAATTTAATGGTTTGGATGGAAATTGCCTGTATTTATGTGCCCTTTGTTGCCACCTCTACACAGGGTGAAAAATCACAGAACAAGTACCTTTTGGTTGGAAACATCTGCAAGTGAAAACAATGCCAGAAGCTTCATAGAAACCTTTTAGTAATTTAGATTAACATCTAAAATACCAGATAGAACAAATAAATTTAATTGTCTGGGACCAGTTTCCATGCCTAATGTTTCAAACCCGTCTCTGTCACCAGAGAAGAACAAGAATGGGAGAGCAGAAACAAACGTCTTCCTCTTATCCTTCACACAAATTCATTGGCTCCAGAAGAATCATCACAACCATGGCAGTTTCTCCACCTCAGAAACCTCACAGCCAAGTGAACAAAAACCCTTATCTAATTCTCTTTAGTTTCAATCTCCGTCCCACCCATTGCACCAATTTCAACTTACCCTTTTTTTATTTTCTTCTCTGTCTTCAGCAATGGCAGCTGAAAATTCATCAGGCGCCAGGAGAAATTCCAACACTCAGCTTCTGGAAGAGCTGGAAGCGCTCAGCGAGTCGCTCTACCAATCCCACACTTCGAGTACTATCACTAGAAGAACTGCCTCCCTTGTTCTTCCTCGAAGCTCAGTTCCTGCGATACCATCGAAAGATGAAATTGTTCCGGCTAGTGCTGAGGAGATTAGGCTCAATAACAAACCCCGAAGGCGCATGTCTTTGTCCCCGTGGCGCTCCCGCCCGAAGCTTATCAATGATGATGATGAGAATGAGCAAAAAGATCGAGGCAAGAAGGCTGCGAATAATAATTTTCCAGGGCTGAGAAGCTTGGATGACAAGGCGACTGCCACCACAGAGAAAAAGGGTATCTGGAACTGGAAGCCGATTCGCGCTATCTCCCACATTGGAATGAATAAGGTCAGCTGCTTGTTCTCTGTTGAGGTTGTCGCTGCACAAGGCCTTCCAGCTTCAATGAATGGCCTTCGGCTTTCTGTCTGCGTTCGGAAGAAGGAAACAAAAGACGGAGCTGTTCAAACAATGCCGTCAAGGGTCACACAAGGAGCTGCTGATTTCGAAGAGACCCTTTTCCTTCGGTGCCATGTGTATTGCAGTAATGGCCATGGGAAGCAGCAGAAGTTTGAGCCAAGACCCTTTTGGATATATGTGTTTGCAGTTGATGCTGAAGAGCTTGATTTTGGGAGGAGTTCTGTGGATTTGAGTCAGCTTATTCAGGAGTCCATTGAGAGGAACAATGAAGGTCAACGAATTCGACAATGGGATACGAGTTTTAAGCTGTTAGGGAAGGCAAAAGGAGGACAGCTTGTTTTGAAATTGGGGTTTCAGATTATGGAGAAAGATGGAGGAATTGGAATTTACAGCCAGGCTGATGATTTAAAGTCTGGAAAGTCCAAGAATTTCTCATCTTCTTTTGCTAGGAAGCAGTCAAAAATATCATTTAGTGTGTCTAGCCCAAAATTGTCAAGCAGAGGAGAAGCTTGGACTCCTTCACAAGCAGGAAAAGCAGCTGATCTTCAGGGGATTGATGAACTCGACCTTGATGAACCAAACCCAGTTCCAATATCATCTTCTTCGTCTTCTTCAGCTCCGAAGCCAAAAGAACCAGAAGTACCAAAGACAGAGGATCTTGATCTGCCAGACTTTGAAGTAGTGGATAAAGGAGTTGAATTCCAAGACAAGGAAGAGGAATATAGGGAAGAGCAATCAGAAAAGTCTATTGGGGAAAAATCAGCAGCATCAAGTGAGGTTGTGAAGGAAATTGAGCAAGATCAAGTGCATATAACAAGACTGACAGAGCTTGATTCTATTGCTCAGCAGATTAAAGCTCTTGAGTCTTTGATGGGAGAAGAAAAAACCGATGACAAAGATAACGAAATTGAATCACACAGATTGGAGGCTGATGAGGAAAATGTAACAAAGGAGTTTCTTCAAATGCTTGAGGAGGAGGAGATCATCATGAATGAATATAAACTGAGCCAAAATGATGTTCCTCCTTTGGAGCTTGAAGGAGCAGAGGAATCTGCAGAGGCTGAATCAGAGGTGTACCTTCCTGATCTTGGGAAGAGCTTAGGCTGTGTGGTTCAAACCAGGGATGGAGGGTACTTGGCAGCCATGAACCCATTAGATACTTTGGTAGCAAGGAAAGACACCCCAAAACTTGCCATGCAGATATCAAAACCATTTGTTCTACCATGGGATCAGTCCATGAGTGGATTTGAATTGTTTCAGAGAATTGCAGCTATTGGACTTGATGAACTGAATTCTCAGCTTCTAAATTTGATGGCCTTGGATGAACTGATGGATAAAACCGCAGAGCAGATTGCTTTCGAAGGCATTGCTTCGGCGATCATCCAAGGGAGAAACAAAGAAGGTGCTAGTTCAACTGCTGCCAGAACCATTGCTGCTGTTAAAACCATGGCAAATGCAATGAGCACAGGTAGGAAAGAGAGGATTTCAACTGGGATTTGGAATGTGAATGAGAACCCCTTGACAGCAGAGGAGATTCTGGCATTCTCAATACAGAAAATTGAGGCCACGGCTCTTGAAGCTTTGAAAATTCAGGCTGAAATAGCGGAGGAAGAAGCCCCATTCGATGTTTCTCCATCGAACGGTACAACAAGAGGTGCAAAAGTTCAAAATCACCCACTTGCTTCTTCTATATCACTGGAGGATTGGATCAAAAACCACAGCTTGGCCAATTCAGATGGTTTACAAGATGGGGATCAAGATCATCCAGAAACAATCACACTGGCAGTTATTGTTCAGCTGAGGGATCCGGTAAGGCGGTATGAGGCAGTTGGAGGCCCTATGATTGCACTGATTTATGCAACAAGAGCTGATGACATCATTGAAGTAAATAAGTACGAGGAGGAAAAGAAATTCAAAGTGACAAGTTTGCATGTGGGAGGCTTAAAGGTGAGGACAAGAGGGAAGAGGAATGCATGGGATAGTGAGAAGCAGAGGCTAACTGCAATGCAGTGGCTGGTTGCTTATGGATTGGCAAAAGCTGCAGGGAAGAGAGGCAAGCATGTGACATCCAAAGGTCAAGATTTGTTGTGGAGCATTTCATCAAGAGTAATGGCTGATATGTGGCTCAAGTACATGAGAAACCCAGATGTA